AGGAAATCAGGTCGGCTGAGTCAGTGAACTCTTTTAAGTCCCTTCTTAAAACATACTTTTATAGGAGAGCTTTTCCCGATCTTATTTGACTTTATTTTATCCCTTTTATTTTATTGTATTTTACTAATTTTATATTAAATTTTCATGCTCTTATCTTTTTTTGTATTATTCTTTACACTTGTTAAAGCACTTTGTAACTTGTTTTTGAAAAGTGCTCTACAAATAAGGATTATTATTATTATTATTACTAATGACCTCCTCACTGCATCAGACAAAGGACTTGTCTCTGTACTGGTTTTATTAGATCTTAGTGCTGCATTTGATACCATTGACCATCAGATCCTATTGCAGAGACTGGAACATTTCACAAGGAACCGCTCTAAGCTGGTTTAAGTCCTATTTATCAGATCGATTTCAGTTTGTACATGTTAACGATGAGTCCTCCATGCACGCCAAAGTTACTCATGGAGTTCCTCAAGGATCTGTCCTTGGACCAATCCTCTTCACTTTATATATGCTTCCTTTAGGCAATATTATCATGAAACATTCCATAAACTTTCATTGTTATGCAGATGATACTCAGTTATATCTATCGATCAAGCCAGATGAAAGTCATCAGTTAGCTAAACTTCAAATGTGCCTTCAGGATGTTAAAACCTGGATGACCTGTAATTTTCTAATGTTAAACTCAGATAAAACTGAAGTCATTGTTCTGGGGCCTAAGCACCTCCGTGACGCATTATCCAAAGATATAGTTTCCCTGGATGGCATCACCTGGCCTCCAGCACCACTGTGAGGAATCTTGGAGTTATCTTTGATCAGGACATGTCGTTTAAGTCTCACATTAAGCAAATTTCAAGGACCGCCTTTTTTCACCTACGTAATATTGCGAAAATCAGGAACATCCTGTCTAAAAATGATGCAGAAAAACTAGTCCATGCATTTGTTACTTCTAGGCTGGATTACTGCAATTTCTTATTACCAGGCTGCTCGAAAAAGTCCATTAAGACTCTTCAGCTGATCCAGAATGCTGCAGCACGTGTTCTGACAGGAACCAGGAAAAGAGATCACATTTCTCCTGTTTTAGCTTCTTTGCATTGGCTTCCAGTAAAATCCAGAATAGAATTTAAAATCATTCTTCTTACCTACAAAGATCTTAATGGTCAGGCACCATCTTATCTTAAAGAGCTCATAGTACCTTACTACCCCACCAGAGCACTGCGCTCCCAGAATGCAGGGTTACTTGTGGTTCCTAGAGTCTCCAAAAGTAGACTGGGAGCCAGAGCGTTCAGCTATCAAGCTCCTCTCCTGTGGAACCAGGTTCCAGTTTGGGTTCAGGAGGCAGACACCATCTCCACATTTAAGAGTAGGCTTAAGACTTTCCTCTTTGATAAAGCTTATAGTTAGGGCTGGCTCAGGTGAGTCCTGAACCATCCCTTAGTTATGCTGCTATAGGCCTAGACTGCCGGGGGATTTCCCATGATGCACTGAGCTCCTCTCTCCTCTACTTTCTCTCCCTCTGTATGCAACCTCATCCCATTATTGCATGTTACTAACACAACTTCTCCCCTTTCTGGTAGTCTTGTGCTTTCTCGTCTCTCTCCTCTCTCCTCCTATCACTTCCTGCAGGTTTTCTGGCTCTGGAGCTGTGGAGTCTGGATCTGTGGTTGCGGGTCACCTGCTGCCCCCGTGTTCCTGCTCGACACCCTCTGCTGCAACGACTATTGTTACTAGTCCTATTGTTATTATTGTTATTATAATCATTAACATTACGATGGTTACCATTAACACTACTATAAATATCTGTACCATTTTTCATTTAGTCTATAGCAACATCACCTTCATTGTCTGTACCTCTGTGTGGATATTGTGTAGGGTGCCTCCCTGTATCAGCGATAAAGTGAACTGAGGTGATGTGTGTTTTATATTCTGCAGTCTTTACGCTGCTGTTTGTGTTTCATGTCTCTTACCTTGTGTCTGAGGGTTCATCACTGCAGTCTAGAGACCTTTCAGTGGACCCGTCCTCCTTCACGGACAGACAGCTGCCCTCCTCTTCCTCCACATAACTCATCTTCAGTCAGTCTGAGGGAAGCAGGGACAGCGTCAGTGGAAGGTTCATGATCAGTTCTTCATTTGTTAGTTAACATTTGTTGTTGCCATTTTTAGAAATGCTTTCAAAAACGTGCTGTGGACACGTCTCCAGCGTGGAGATGACACCTGTGGCTGACATAAAGTCTGAGTGGAAATAACTTCTGTTCAACTGTTTCATCTTCTGATGTTTCACTGACATCAAGAACAAACACTCTGTGGCAGAAGCAGGGCCGTAACCAGGGCTTGGAAATTAGTGAGGTCCAGATTTTCTTTCTTGTTTTTAAATGAAGCTTATTTATGGTAATATTGCTGGGGTTGTATAGTTCATACTGCTTATGAACTGTTCTTGAAGAACACAGTAACAACAGGCTGTTCTTCGTTGTCTTCACTGGAATCACGTAAAATGCAGACACAGGTAGCGCAAATGCGACAGGAAATCTAATCTTTACAACATTTATTAGGGGTTTAACGGAACACAAAACTCCCAGATTTCGGTACAGTGGAAATGGCCCAGCAATGTTAGCTATCGTGCACTAACCTACATATAAATCCAGAAACCTTTGCCTGTAAACAGGAGATCATTTCAGCCCTCAGCTTGGTGAGAGCTGTCCCTGTTATAAATAATAACACAGTAAATGTATCTGAAACAACTACAACTGTCATCCCAGCACTACACAGCTGGAATGACCTGCAGATACATAAGGGGCACTATTGTTACTGTGTGACAACATAAAACACAGCAGGTCAGTGCTGAACAGTTGATATTACAGCCTAATAATTTAACTTTAGCAGCTGAACTGGTGTGATGGATCAACTCTGAAAAAACTATTTACTCAGATTTACCCACCTCCGCTTCCAGGTGACTTCTTTAATGTGTTGTGCTGGAACCTGGACGGTGTGTGAGAGCTTTAGGATGTGTACAAGAACGCAGAACATGAATTAGATCCTGACTGAGATTTTAATCTGAAATTATGCTGCGGTGGGCTCGTGCGTAAAAGCGCACAGCGTCACTTAAAATGTGGAGACTGTTCACCAAACGTACTGGTCTCAAAACCGTTTCCAGGGTCAGCGATACCGCCAAAAACTCTCGACAAACAGCGGTGGTTTCCGTTATTGCAACTTTTGATTCTTCACAACAGCGGGAAACCGGTAGAAACGAGCTGCGTCCGCGGGGTCCTAAAGCCTTCACATGACTGGATCAATGGTTTTATAGGAGTTTATAATTCATAGGTTATAACCTTTCTAAATATAAAAGTCAGTCTATGGTTCTACACATATTTACTGAGGTTCGGACCTCAGCGACCTCACAGCTGCTTCCAGCCAGACGTTCTTTTAGCTTTTCTTTGGTCTCATGTTGAATTAAAAATGAGTCTTCAGGACTAAAACAATCTTCATCATTCTGTTATTTGAAGGTGTTTTCTTCGTGTAAAAAGCCGCCAGTTTGGTTCAGCCGCCAGTTTGAGTTTAATGTCAGAAACGTTCATTCTAATAACATCCTGAACTTTACTGCCATCAAACCAACGGGATGTTATTAGATGAACCTTTCTGACATTAAACCACTCTAACAAAGTGAAACTCCCACAGTTACAGTCCGACAGTAAACTAATACTAATGTTGAACACTCACCCCAGTTCTTTCTGTTTCTGAGCGCTGGACTGAACATAAAGCTGCTGCTCAGAGACGTTCAAATCTCCACTGCTCATTATATATACAGGGAGCTTATTGTTATTATAACAGCGCTGTCCCAATGTCACAATTATTAGTCCACTCAAAGTTTCCCGGAATGCATTTTGAAAAGTAGTGTGCGACCTGTTCAGTCTGTGTGTACACTAAGAACCGGTGGTCATTAACCAAGCCATAGCCTATAAAGCATCATGCATTGCGGTAATAGGCATTTTTTTAAATTTATAAACCTTTATTCACAATTTAAAATAAGGCCATTAAACCAATCCAGACTAAGCATAAAAAACCCAGCCAAACAGAAATAGCCCTAACTAAAAGCTTGTTTCGTTTTTATACATTTCAATTATTTCCTATTATTAACTCAATATAGGTCTAACAGTCATTAAGCTACACTTGTGCATAAACTCTTTAGCCATAATAACCAAGCTGGTAAACATCAAGTCCTTTTATTCCTCCTCCATTAAAACTCCAAATGTAATACCACAGTACATTAAAGTCTTTTTAAATATCTGTTTCTGAACAGAATTACAAAAACACTTAGTATAAATACAAACAAAAAAACAAATGCTCTAAAAGATAAATAGTGTGAAGTATCTGGTTCTGATTCCTATGATCTCATCAGGATGGTTTTTAATAGGTTTTTCCTTTTTAACAGTGTAGAGTTCAGAGGTCTCTCACTGGAATACACAGAAAATGAAACCTGTTTTTTTTAAAAATGGTATCATCAGCCAGCTGATTAATGATTATTTCTTTTTCCAGCTATTGTGAGACCTTTCAGCTGGGCTGAATGAAATCAGTAACTGAGCTCAGATCAGGAACAGGTGAGACAGGACACCTGTCTGACTCTGTGCTTTAGGTCAAAGCTAGGAGAGGTGCCTCTTTAACGGAGCTGTTTACATTCTGCATCAGGTTTTAAAGCTGCACTAAAGTGTCAAAGCTATATTTTCAGATTAGAGAAAGTCATGTTTGAATGCATCAAAAGCTTTGCAGAAATCTAAAAACTGAATATAACCATTGTCATCGAGGTCCAGCACGAGCCCGATGTTATTAGATAAGTAAACCTCATAAACCCACTTTTGTTTTAATCAATTCTTTGGTCCAAAACAGCTTTAAATCTTTAGGCAAATTTTATAATTAATAAGAATTGAAGAAGTCTGAATTCCTGAAAAGGTTTGTTCTTAATAGTTGCATTTTATGGACACACACACAGAAATGAAGATCAGCAGTGTTTCTTCAAGATGTAAAATATTTTATTTTATGTAAATGATTCTAAATCAGATTCCACATTTTCCCAAAAACAACAAAAACATCATCATCATCACACTTTGTTTACGTCCAATAATAAAAAAACAAAAACAAGTCTTAATGTCGTCAAACTGTACACATCAGCAGAGTCCCGATGAAAGCTCATATTTACACGGCAGCAGGACCCTGAACTCAACACAAAGTGAAAAAAACAACCTAAAGACGCCTGCAGACGAAACACTGGGGGAAGGAAACAAAAGTTAGATGAAGGCCGCAGTGACACCTGCCCGACACCGTCTGTCCAATCAAAACACACCACCTCCAGCGCCGGGGAGGGGGGGAAGGAAACAGAAAGAGTGAAACTTTATTTAAACTCTGACAGAAGGGCGCTCTGAAGGGCAGGTGATGAAGGTGAGGATGAGGATGTTAAGGTAGCTCATGGTGGAGTTTTTAAATTTATGATACACATATTTACACGCTGCGATTCCGGACCTCAAACTCACCGTGGATTTTAGAAAATAGCTTCATTCGTAATAAATACAATAAGAAAAAAAAATCTCTTATTTTACAGGAAATTAACAAAACGCAGGGAGGAAGAGGAGGATGAAGAGGAGGAGGAGGAGGAGTCAAGTATGTGTTTTTGTAGTTTTCTGGTTTTTTTTAGTGCAAGTTAATAAAGCTCCTCTGAGGATGACGACATTCTGTTATTTCAGTGGCGTTTACACTCACATTTACATCTGTGGTCGTTTTTACACGCAATATACACACTGAGGACCAGCCTCGTCATAAACCCCGCCCCTCACCTGTCAATCACCCCCCCATCATCATTATTATAACGTCTGATCAAATCTGTGATCAGTTTTATTATTATTAATATGTACTTCTGATATGAAGTGTAGCTCCGCCCACAGAGCGATGGGCGAAGGACATCCAGCCTCAGAGAGAGAGGGAGAGCTGCCTGTGTGTCTGTGTGTGTGTGTTCAGTTCATCCATTTGCGGCAGTTGACGGCTCCACAGTGACATGGGATCTTATGTTGATCGTCCTCCAGGTCGAACTTGTAATCATAAGACAGCTGAGGAGGAGGCGGGGGGGAGAGGTAGGGAGGATAAAGTTAGTGTTGTTCTCAGAGTGAAAGTGACTGCCTGCTGATTGATCGGCAGATTGAAGTCGTTCAGGTATGACTGTTCAGCTTAAGTGAGTTTTGAATATTGAGAAAACTACACTTTTTCTTCAGAGCATTTTCACTGTGCAGTGTTGTTTATTCTGACCACACTGTTGACAGATTTACCAATTGAAAAATGATTGACAGAACTCAGTGTGTTCACCTTGATGATCTGAAATCAGTAGTGCTGCTACAATCAATCAAGCTTTTTTCTGACAACACTGTTATTTATTATAGTGCTGCTACAATCAATCAAGCTTTTTTCTGACAACACTGTTATTTATTATAGTGCTGCTACTATCAAGCTTTTTGCTGATGACGCGTGTATTTATTTCTGTGCTGCTACTATCAAGCTTTTTGCTGATGACACTGTTATTTATTATAGTGCTGCTACTATCAAGCTTTCCTGTTTACAATCTGCTTTAACTTTGTTCAGGTACAACTGTATCAACTTAAGCTCATTTTGAATGTTGAGAAAGTTCATGTTTTTTTAGTCTAGTATAAAATAGAGTATAAAATATCTTAATGTCCTTTGGTTGTTGTCTGACATTCTCATCTGTAACTCCGCTCGGTCAATTTGCTGCTGTTCTTTTTTCTCTCTTTAAAAAGAGGTTTTAAATCTCAATGAGATCGTCAGGTAAAATAAAATAAATTGATCATCTGATTGATCAGTGGTACCTCTTCTCCTCTCTGGATGCGTCTGCAGGAGCTGATGATGATCTTGTTCTCCTTCTCCACATTGACCACCTCCGTGATGCAGTTGGGAGCACACGAGTGGTTAATGTACCTGTCAATCACACACAGAAGGCAGATTTGTTAACAAGTGTAACCTGAGCCTGCAGGACTTTACATCCTCTGACATGGGAGACCTAGATAAACAAAGTGATCATGTGACCGAAGCTTCTGTTCTGACCCTCCAACATCTGATATAAAGACCAGTCTGAGGCGGTCTCACCTAGCCGGTCCTCCAGTGATGGTGGCATCGATCACAAAGTCGTTGTCGATCCGGAACATGTACACGCCGCGGTTCTACACACACACACACACACACACACACACACACACACCGAGTACACATCAGTATAACGGGTGTGTGGAATCAGGACCAGGTTCCAGCTGGATCATATAATGGGTGTGTGGAAAAAGGACCAGAGTCGAGCTGCATCAGACAACGTGTGTGTGGAACCAGGACCGGAGTCCAGCTGGATTCGGTTACAGGTTACCTGTGACTCGTACAGCCTCTCCTTGCGATTGGCTACCTCACTCCTGATGATAGTGCCGATGTACTCAATTACCATAGTGCACTTCTCGATGTCTCTGGCAGCATACAGACCCAGACCCTGCACACAAACACACAGAGTCCATCAGGGACCTGTCCTGCAGTCAGCAGTAATGGGTTCAGGTCTGTGGTCCCAGTGTCTCACCTGGATGCGAGAGCGGGCCAGGTAGACATTGGTCTTCCAGTCGGCTTTCATGCGTCGGTACTGGGACGACTTGGAGTGGCGTCCCTGGTGAGCTCCAGCCACAGACTCGCCCGGGGACAGAGAGATGACGCCGGGCACCAGACCCACGATGGAGCCCACCGAGCCCTGACACCTGGGTGCGATGCTGGTCAGCAGGGTCGGTCTGACACAGAGAGAGAGACAGGACACTCCAGGTAGATCACAACCACTGTATCAGACCGAGACCCCTGTGCTTCACTGTTAGCTAACACTAATGCTAAGGCACAAGTTATTCTAGAGGTATATTTTGACATCAATATATACTATATATACACTCGTTTGAGGACCACCAGGTGCACATTTTAGACAGAGAAGATGGATGGTTTGAAAGAGGTGTCAAGGAAGCATCTACACCAGGGTGGAGAAGCCGTCATTGAACAGGGGAGGGGGTCTACGCCACCACTTATCCCCCACTTACAATGCTGTCCTTTCATCACTTCCCAGGAAACTCAACAAACGTAACCTATTGGCCTCAGGTGAAGATACCAACGATGGTCGTTCAGTCTTGGCCACAGGTAGTCTTAACGACTGTAACGACTGTCGTCACAGCAACAAGGAACACTAACGAACCAGCGGTATCGATGACCCGAGATAACGACCCCACTGAGGTTAAATAGCTGAGTTTCCCTGCCAGTCAGTCAGAACTGAAGAAGTCCATTGGATGAGGGACGAAACGTCTTCCAGTATCTTCAACCAAGTCCAGTTGTTCTTGATTTTAACCTTCGTTGGATAACTATGACCTGGATGACTGAGAATCTTCATAGACAACATCAATATATAGTTTCTCTTCTGACTCTTTTTACAATAAGCAGCGATTTGTTTTCACTCTGGAATATCAGCAGTTTTACCTGACTAGGTAAATGTGAAAACTGTTCAAATCCAGGTGTGTTATTTCAAAACTATGACTATGGCTGTGCGATATGATGTTAGATGTTAGTGTCGCTGTCTGGAGCTGTTGTGCTGCTGTGGACTGTCTCGTCCTCTCGTTAGCTTTGCAGCAGCAAGTAGCAGCAAGTAGTTTTGTTGTCCACTTCATATCATGGCAACATGGTAACTCATAATATTTTATGGAAATTTACAAATAAAAATGTTCTATATCTGGATATAGATCATTATTGGGGTATGAAATTACCTATATTGGGATTTGATTTTGATATTTCGCACAGCCCTGACTACTTAATTTCATTCAGTCAACATGAGCAAGAAAAAGAGACAATTTTTGGTGCAAAAAAAAAAAAGTAAGCTGAAACTTAAAACTTCAATTGATAAAAATGAGGAACTAGAGATGATTGTGAGGTAAGGGGCACACATGAACTGATTAATCACCTACAGACGTTAAACAAGCTGGGATGTGGTAAACTTTGTACTTCTTTAGTGAAGCACAAGCCTGCGCTGTACTTTACGTCCTGTGTAATTCACACTGGTGAACTTTGCCCACGGCCTGATGTTTACCAGGTTTCCCAAACCTCCCTACAACAGTTTGTCATTAAACTTGCAGCTCCCGTCTAAAACCAAGTTAATCAAAGAAAAACTCGCTGTTGGATGTTTTACAGTAGCTACTGTGTAGGACAATTTCCCCATCGGCCTTAAACGCATCATTTGCAAATTTAACACTTAATGTACTTGATTTTACTTCAAGACCTTTCAAGACTTCTTAAGGAGCTCGGTGACGTTACCTCTTGGCCTGGCAGGCTTTGGGTTCGGAGCGGGCCGAGCCAGACGGGTTAAAGGCCAGAGGCCACTCCATCAGAGGGTTCCTGCCGTAACGAAAGGTGTAGCACTCACAGGTCTCCACACCTGGCAGCTACACACACACACACACACACACACACACACACACAGGAGTCAATATGAGTGTGGTTTGAGCGTACATGTGTGTACATGTGTGTACATGTGTGTACATGTGTGTGTGGGACCTACAGACTCGATGATCCGGGTCACTGCAGACGTGGTCAGACCAAACAGGTCTTCTCCTTTCAGGTAAACTGGGAACAGCTTCAGGGTCCCACTGGAGGGCCTCATCTGAGCTACTGGATCCAGAATCTGGTCCCACACAGCTGAGACACACAGAGGAGGACAGTTACTGAAATACTGCAGTACTGCATACAGTAATACTTACACATACTTTATGTCAGTAGGGTTTTGAACGCAGGACTAGTATCGTCACAGAGTTCTTCCTCCACCGCAGGTCAGAGTGTCTGGTGGATCCACTTCCTGTCTGTACAGGTGCACAGGTGAGGCTCACCTTTGGGCGTTGGTCCGGTCAGTATGAGGTCGTCGTATCCCTTCTCCACCACCTTCACCTTGAACAGCGGCCGGCCCTCCTGCTCCTCAATGCAGCACAGGTACTTACAGCGTCTGCAGAGGGAGGAGGTTTCACTCAGTGACCAATCAGTAAACCAGCGATCAATACAACGCTCTGCAGACCACAGCTCTGTGGCAGAGAGACTGATCACCTGACCCGCGTTTCGTTCGCTGCATCACCTGTGTGACTGTTTAGAGTTGAGCCGCCTTTATAATCTGCAGACGACAGAAGCAAAGCACCATGGGAGACGAAGTTTCTCAGTCGGCTTACCTGTTGCTGTGGCGCATGCTCCAGTAGATACGGTTTGCGTGGTAGCCGATGGGGAAGATGGAGGTCTTGTTGTGGAAGGCGTTCATCTGCTGTGGGAGGAGCCTGCCGATGGCGCGGAACAGCAGGCTGCCCACGCGGAAGGTGTACTGCCGGTCGCCGCGCTGCACCACGGCAGCGATCTGCCGCGCCTCGTCCCGCTGTACAAACACCCGCCGGAACACGGAGAAGCACCGCAGCTCCGTGTCGTACGGGTCACAGACCGCCATCGCCGCAGGGTCGGGGGTCGGCCCCGGGGTGGAGGAGGGGGAGCAGCTGGAGGACCTGTCCCCGCTGAGAGGACCTGTCCTGGGCTTGTGGAGGTGGCAGAGCATGGTCTTGTCCTGAAGGAGAAGGAGCAGAGTGTTAGCAGGTAAACCTGGTCCATAGGTGTCTTCGGGTCTTAGACCTGGGTCCTGGTGCCCTGGTACCTTGAAGAAGGTGCAGTGGGCCTGCAGCGCGCAGGTGAAGTGGTAGGTGTTGGTGCAGCGGAGCCGGTTGCAGCCGCTCGTGGCTCCGGTCTGCTGACAGTGAGCGCAGCGCAGAGTCAGTCCTCGTCTCAGAGCCAGCTCCACGTTGATCAGGGCGCCGGCCTGGGTCTCATACACCTCGCTGGACCACAAAGCACAGTTCAGGTGGACCTGAGACACAGAGAGACGGGTTAGATCCGGTTCCAGGTCCAGACTAGAGCCTAGTACTCCTGAGTTAGAGCCCTGTAGACTCACCCACAGGTCCAGGTCCAGGTTCAGCAGTCTGGCTGGTCCATCAGTCTGTCCGTCTCCCTGCTGGTTACAGAAGCAGCACCTCCGCTGGTCTCTGGGTAACGGGTCAGGACGAAGACACGCCCCCAACTTCTTCAACAGCTCATCCACTTCCTCCTCTGTTGGCTTGGCAACCGCCTCGTTAGGGGTGCAAGGGCCCCTGGGTAAAAAAAGAGAGCTCAGCGTGAATCTAACAGGCTAACCAGTTCTGCGTGATGCTAACAGGCTAACCAGTTCTGCGTGATGCTAACAAGCTAACCTGCTCAGCGTGATGCTAACAAGCTAACCTGCTCAGCGTGATGCTAACAAGCTAACCTGCTCAGTGTCATGCTAACAGGCTAACCTGCTTAATGTAATGCTAAAGCTCCAGCGTCTCCAGCGGGAACTCTTGATCCTTTTCCCGTGGCGAGACGACAGCGAGTCCTCTCCGCCTGGGACCGCCCGGGGGCGGGGCTTCAACTTCACCTTCACCTGTAAACCAATCAGCCATTCAGTCGATCATAACTATAAATATTTCATATTTGATCGTGTAATCAGTAACCATACCCACCTTGAGGCTATCCATGCGGGGCCTGGTCTCCATGGTGATGGCGGAGGCAGGGGGGAAGGACAGCGGCGGCGAGGAGGAGGCGGGAGGAGGTAAGGAGGGAGTGTGGAGGAGGGACTGGACCGCGATGGAAGACATGTTGTTGGTGTACTGGTGCTGCACTGTGCTGGGAGGGGGCAGGACGCCGTCTGCAGACTGAGGACAGAAGGACAGGCGTTATGATGTCATCAACTGCACGCCATGATGTCATCTAACAACTCAACCTTTAGGACTGAGGTGTCTATCAGGGGCCCCAAAAGAAGGGCGGTGTCATACTGGTCTACAGTCTGTGAAAGACTGGTCTGTTTACCAGGCAGAAAGACAGTCTCCAGTTGCATTATGGGAAATGTAGGATCCCCCTTTTTTCAGACAGCTGATCACCCTGATGGTCCTGCTTCCTCTGATCAATAACCAATAATCTGATCTCTCACCTTGTTTCCAGCTGCTCTGTTCTGTAGGTCAGATGTGTGGAGTGCAGAACAGTTTGGACTGCAGAACACCAGGCTGGATCCTGGTCTGGACTGACCCTCCTGTAACACACACACACACACACACACACACACAGTCACTTCCTGTCCGCCACCTTTGTTGTTTCACACTCAGGGTTAAACGGTTGATGTGTCCAACCTGTTTGAGCTCCTTGACGATGCGGACTACATTTCCCAGCAGCGCCTTGCAGTAGCTGCAACACTGAGGCCTGGCGGCAGCAGCTTGGCCGCCATGTTGGATGTAGTCCATTCTGACAGCAGTGTTCCCAGCAGCAGGTCTCTGCGGTCTGCTGCCTGATGGACCCTGCACACATCAAACACACCGTCAGGACGTCTCCTCCAGCTGTCTGAGGGACCTTTATTGTGAAGGACAGGAAGTACTGTATGGAAGCCTTCAGCGAGCGGCCAGTCAGAACTTAAATCTGAAGCAGAGTTCTTCGTAGGTAATTTCCTGCTCATCCTCCACGGATCATTTGAGCAGCGACCGCTTTTTGATGCCGCCTGAACTGTCCAATCACAGCTGGGGGCGGGCCCCACGGCTGACAGACTGCCGTCAACATTTAAAGTGTACATGAAGTACATGCAGTACATTTATGCAGTACTTCTCCTACCTGCGTCAGCGGCACTCGGACTCCAGCCAGCAGGGCCAGAGAGCTGCGCTCGGGGCCCGCGGGTCGGCTCAGCTGGTAGTCGGCGGGGACGGGAACCTTAAGTAGCTCCGCCACCGCCGCCATCACACCTGCAACGTTCTGTAAACACAGAGTCACAGTGATGTCATCAGGAGGGAGGGGCTACTGATGCATCAACATACGGGGGGGTGGGGGGGTGTTTACCTGAGCTGCGACAGGGTTCAGGGTTATCGCTATGGTAACCAGGTCTGCGTTAGAGCAGGAGGGAGGAGCCTGATGGTTCGGCTCCGACTTCACTTCCTGTTTCACTGCAGAGCCTGGAGACACACAGGTGAGCAGCGGGTAAGAGATTCATCAGCTGCCAAGAGTTCTGCCTGACTCCTGCGGCTGAACGCCAACCATCACTCAAATTTCTGCTCCGCTTTCTAAAACATCCAACACACTTTCCAAAACTTTCAAGGACCTGCAGACATTTTCAAAACCTTTAAAGGACTCTGGTAGAAGTGATCTGGAGCGTTGACCGACCTTTTCCCCAGGCGCAGGGCATGATGGGTATTGGAGGCGACGGGCAGGGCGAGGGCGGCTCCAGTTTGATGAAGGAGAGGTCGGGGTACCTGCTGACCTCCACGTCCGCCACGCTCTCCGGAGACGACGACGGGACGAAGCCGTCCGGACTGTTGCGCCCCGACGAGTCCTGGACCCTGAGGAGGAGAAAGACGTCAGTGCAACAGAAGAAGAAGAATCTCATCCCTCTAAACTTAAACTTTTGGGTTTTCACCAGGACGCCTCAGTGGGCGGAGCTTACCTCAGCTCTTCCTGGTTGTTGTGCGGTGGGGTTGGCAGGGAGGCGGGGACGTCTACAGTTTTTGAGGTGTGGTTTAGAGCCATAAGACCCTCCCCCTTCTGCTTCACACCTTTCACTGAAAGACAAACCAGAACACAGCTGGCGGTTAGGACACCTCATCAGTCACACGCCTGTAAGACAAAGCAGAGGGTGTCAGTAACCTCACCGTCCTGCTCGGTGATGTCCTTCCTGTTCAGCTCCTCCGTCGTGGCGAAGCCGTTCACCAGCTTCTGCCTGGCGACAGGTGGAGGGGTGGGGGGCAGGGAGGCCGGCGGTGTGGGGGGGTTACTGAGGTTGTTCTGCAGGGACAGGAAGAGGTCAGGACCCACAGAAGCAGCTGGGAGTAGTAACTGAGTACTACTGCAGTAGTACTGCAGCAGTACCTTGTATATGAGCTGGGAGTAGTATTACAGTAGTATTACAGTAGTACTGCAGCAGTACCTTGTATATGAGCTGGGAGTAGTATTACAGTAGTATTACAGTAGTACTGCAGCAGTACCTTGTATATGAGCTGGGAGTAGTAGTCGGTGACTCCGTCCAGGCAGGCGTTCCCGAAGGAGCCCGTCAGCGAGGAGTCTCTGCCCAGAGAGGAGCTGCCGTACGGGGCGAACAGGCTCAGATCCACCCGCAGGACCGGCTCCATGAGGGGAAGCACCGCCAGCTGAGGGATCAGGGAACCGGTCAGAAACTGAAGTGTGCAGCTCAGAGGAGGGTCAGGGTTTGATCAAAGAACGTAGTACTGATAATCGATCAGTCCTTTAAACTTGACTAAGTGGACTAAGCTGGAGGAGCAGCTGGCCTACCTGAGAGAGGTGTGTCATCAGCGGGTCGGAGGAGGCGGTGGAGGAGGAGTGCAGCGTCTTCTCCTCCTCCTCCTTCTTCCTCCTCTTGGTTTTGGGAGGAGCTCTGTCTTTCTCCGGCCGAGCGACCCTTTTACAGCGCTGAGGCTTCTTCCTGCCGCAGGAGTCCAGCAGGTCTGGACCCGGACTGTCCGTCATCACCTGGGGGGGAGGAGCACAGAGGTCACCACGGTAACACTGCTGTCACGCCGTTACCTTCTCAGCTTACAGCTTAGAACACGGCAACAAATAAAGACAGTCGACCTCCTCCTCACCATGTTGCCATGGGAACCGGGCCTGTCCTCCTCCTCGGACCGGACGCTGTCGTGGGACAGCTGCCGGCGGGCGGTGGGCGGAGCCTGGCCGGTGGGTGACGGCGTGGTGGCCGGCGAGGTCTTGTCCTTCAGCAGGTGTCTGAGCAGCTCCTTCCCCCCGTCTCCATCTTTGCCTCCCCCGTGGAGAGGGGAGGGCGAGAAGAATCCCTCGCCCTCCTCCATCTTCACCACGCCGCCGCCGCCGCACGCTCCTCCCTCCTCACGCTCCTCCTGCAGCGAGGCAGAGGAGAGGTTAAACGCCCCGCAGCGCTACAACAGGTAAAACATTACTGATACAGGTTACTGGCCGGCAAAGGAACGGTCCTCACCTTGACCTCCAGGCGAGCTGCAGACAGGGGGCCTCTCAGAGACTCCAGGCCCAGGGCGGAGCCTCTCTGCTGGGCTGCGGAGATCACGGACAGCTGCCTCTCCAACTCCGAGGACGGAGCCAGACCGCAGAGGGAGGAGCTTAGAGAGAAGGACAGATCTGATTGGTCCAACCCCCCCCGAGTGGGCGTGGAGCAGGAAGTGTCCGAAACGGCCGGAGTGGGCGGAGCTGTGATGTCATCAGAGTGCGAGGACAGCGGCGTCCTGGCTCCTCCTCCGCCTGCGGCGTCCTCTCCGTCCCTCTTCCTGCTCCTCTTCTTCTTTGGTTTGTCGTCGGGGATGATGTCAGAGTACAGCTGGATGAGGGAGGCGGGGCCTCCTGAGGAGGAGCAGGGGGAGTCCTGTCCAAATCGATGAGCCGCACCTCCAGGATGGGAGGGGGTCAGTGCTCCTCCTCCTCCTCCTCCGACCCCAGGGGGCCGAGCCTGTCCGTGGGCTGAGGGCCCCGCGGGGCCTGAGAGCCTTGGTCTGGTCTGGAGGTTGGAAGGAGCTAAATCCATCAGGGGCCCGGGGCCTGGAGCTGGGTGAGCTCCAGGGTGCAGGGGTCCTCCTGTGAAATCTTGGTGGAGGCCTACTTGCTGGGGGAATGGTGGCCCCGGCTGGCCCTGGTGCTGCAGGGGCCCTCTGGAGGCTGGAGGTGACTGCAAGAAGTCCTGGGGCAGCTCAGAGCTGAAGAAGGGCATCTGGGAGAGACTGTCTCCTTCAGGTGCCGACCCAGCAGGACCTCCAGGTCCAGGTCCTGGTGTCAGACCAACTCGAGCCCCTGACAGAGCTCCAGATGGGGGCATGGCTGCTACTCCAGGGCCCACGGAGGCTCCCAGGAGGCCCTGCTGCTCCAGCTCCAGTCTCTGCTGCAGGGCCCGATGACGCTCCACCTGAGAGGAGAGGAGAATAACTGATACTACTTCCTGTTAATCTAAAGAGTCCATTTGTGGTTCTACTTCCTGTTCTCTACATATAAACAGTCCATTTATGGTTCTACTTCCTGTTCCCTTTAGATTAACAGTCCGTTTGTGGTTCTACTTCCTGTTCTCTACATATAAACAGTCCATTTATGATTCTACTTCCTGTTCCCTTTAGATTAACAGTCCGTTTGTGGTTCTACTTCCTGTTCTCTACATATAAACAGTCCATTTATGGTTCTACTTCCTGGTCCCTTTAGATTAACAGTCCGTTTGTGGTTCTACTTCCTGTTCCCTTTAGATTAACAGTCCGTTTGTGGTTCTACTTCCTGGTCCCTTTAGATTAACAGTCCATTTGTGGTTCTACTTCCTGTTCCCTTTAGATTAACAGTCCGTTTGTGGTTCTACATACTATTCTCTACAGATTCACAGTCTGTGGTTCTACCTCCGGTTCCCTATAGAATAACAGTCCGTTTGTGGTTCTACCTCTTGTTCCCTACAGAATAACAGTCCGTTTGTGGTTCTACCTCTTGTTCCCTACAGAATAAAAGTCAGTTTGTGGTTCTATTTACTATTCTCTACAGATTAACAGTCTGTGGTTCTACCTCCGGTTCCCTATAGAATAACAGTCCGTTTGTGGTTCTACTCCCTGTTCTCTACAGGTTAACAGTCTGTGGTTCTACCTCCGGTTCCCTATAGAATAACAGTCCGTTTGTGGTTCTACTCCCTGTTTTCTACAGATTAACAGTCTGTGGTTCTACCTCCGGTTCCCTACAGAATAAAAGTCTGTTTGTGGTTCTACCTCCGGTTCCCTACAGAATAAAAATCCATTTGTGGTTCTACTCCCTGTTCTCTACAGAATAAAAGTTTGTTTGTGGTTCTACTCCCTGTTCTCTACATATAAACAGTCCATTTATGGTTCTACTTCCTGGTCCCTTTAGATTAACAGTCCGTTTGTGGTTCTACTTCCTGTTCTCTACATATAAACAGTCCATTTATGGTTCTACTTCCTGGTCCCTTTAGATTAACAGTCCGTTTGTGGTTCTACTTCCTGGTCCCTTTAGATTAACAGTCCATTTGTGGTTCTACTTCCTGTTTCCTTTAGATTAACAGTCCGTTTGTGGTTCTACATACTATTCTCTACAGATTCACAGTCTGTGGTTCTACCTCCGGTTCCCTATAGAATAACAGTCCGTTTGTGGTTCTACCTCTTGTTCCCTACAGAATAACAGTCCGTTTGTGGTTCTACCTCTTGTTCCCTACAGAATAAAAGTCAGTTTGTGGTTCTATTTACTATTCTCTACAGATTAACAGTCTGTGGTTCTACCTCCGGTTCCCTATAGAATAACAGTCCGTTTGTGGTTCTACTCCCTGTTCTCTACAGGTTAACAGTCTGTGGTTCTACCTCCGGTTCCCTATAGAATAACAGTCCGTTTGTGGTTCTACTCCCTGTTTTCTACAGATTAACAGTCTGTGGTTCTACCTCCGGTTCCCTACAGAATAAAAGTCTGTTTGTGGTTCTACCTCAGGTTCCCTACAGAATAAAAGTTTGTTTGTGGTTCTACTCCCTGTTCTCTACAGAATAAAAGTTTGTTTGTGGTTCTACTCCCTGTTCTCTACAGAATAAAAGTTTGTTTGTGGTTCTACTCCCTGTTCTCTACAGGTTAACAGTCTGTGGTTCTACCTCCGGTTCCCTACAGAATAAAAGTCCGTTTGTGGTTCTACTCCCTGTTCTCTACAGAATAAAAGTTTGTTTGTGGTTCTACTCCCTTTTCTCTACAGGTTAACAGTCTGTGGTTCTACCTCCGGTTCCCTATAGAATAAAAGTCCGTTTGTGGTTCTACTCCCTGTTCTCTACAGAATAACACTCTGGGTTCTACCTCCTGTTCTCTAAGATTAATAGTCTATGGTTCTACCTCCGGTTCCCTACAGATTCCTGTTGGTCTGGTTTACCTCCTGCATGAGCTGAACTCTCTGCCTCTCCTGCTGCTCTCTCAGCCTCTCCCTCCTCTCTCTCTCCTGGAAACCCTCGCTGAATGGGTTGTTGTCGTCAAACTTCACCTGCAGGTGGTGGAGACAGGCGGAGACGTATTACTGAATTAAATGGTGGAAACTGGAGGCAGATTATTGGATAAGAAAGTATCATTTGAAAAAGTGCGTCTGGATCTTTGTTAGCTTCATTATCGGTGTGATGAGGGCGCTCTAGAGTTCTCTCCTACTTTCAGTTTTCATGCTGTAACAAATCTGTGGATTGTGTTTCAGAAATACAGAAAATATTTGCAAAGATACGAGATAAAGAAAACGGGCGCCTGCTGGTAGCAGAACCGTACTAACGGCCTAAACTCTTTAACCAGACGACAGTCTAACATCCTCACTGACCACAGAAGAAGGCGGTGACAGTAACTCCTCCAGTGTAAACTGTTGATTCAAGGTTTGTTACCTGACGAGAGGCGGCGGCTCCGTCCGCTGCTGCCCCGTTGGGCCCTCCAGTAGGGCCCCTGGGGCCTGCAGTGAAGCCAGCTGTGGGAGCAGGGATCCCGGGCGCCATGGCGGGGGGTGTCTGGGTGTGTGCGGGAGCCTGGGGGGCATTGGGCAGGGTGGGAGGAATCTGAGGGGGTAGATGAAGCGGCATCCTCTGCCCCATCACCACTGGGGCACCGCCCCCTGGGTTCCAACCAGGGGGGGCGTTTGGAACATGGGGCGGGGTAGGGCCGCCCGGGTGGGGCTGCATGGACACCCTGGGCTGGGAGAGGAGGGTCTGGGGGATGGGGGGCACTCCTGCAGGCACCGTAGGGGCGGCCCCTGGTTGTTGCTGCAGAGACGTGTGCTGCTGCTGTTTGGTCCTGTAGTCCTCGATCAGCTCGGCGTGATCCTTCTGCTGCTTCCGGATCTGAACACAAACATCACATTGACGCGTCACGACGGTACTAAACCGCAGGAGACCAACTGGTTTCTGTGTTCTCATTAATCTCAACTTTGAGCACAGCGGTTTTAAACGAGGCCCCGGGTGTGGTTGTGTACCTGCTCCAGCTGTTTCTGGACCGCCCCCTGCTGCTCGGTGATGTGGCGGAGCTGGGCGGCGTCGTCCTCGGCGAAGGGTCGGCCAGCCTTCTTGGCCGTTCTCTGCTTGGCCGACAGAGATTTCTTGGTCTTGCGGTGACCGGCGATCTGGTCCTCCAGGAGGCGCTGCTGCATCTGCAGGAGCCGCTGCGTCTCGCCCAACCACTCCTCGTACTGCCGCCGCTGAGACTCGTCTGCAGGAGACACGGCAGCGTTCAGACCCGGCGGAGGATTTTACAAACACACTGACGTTCAGATGATGTTCTGATACTCACTGACGAAGCCCGGGCCGAAGCTGGGGGGGCTGGGTCGCACCAGCTGGGGGTTCAGCTTCCCGTCCTGGCAGGAAGAGAAGACAAACCTCAGCAGCAGGTACAGACACACTGGGCAACATTAGAGAGTTGTTGTGGCTCTACTCACCTGTCCCACCAGGTGTGGAGGCTGAGGAGCCCCCTCTGGGCTAGGGGCCACCAGAGCCGCCGGGGCCCCAGGAGCCTGCTGGAACCTGACACACAAAGACACAGAGAGAGTTGAGGAAGTGACGTCGTGTAATAAAGCTTATCTGGTCTGCTGTCCAACTGTTCTCGGGTCAGAGCGTCCTACCTGTTGATGACCATGGGGTTGAGTCCCAGGGTGCCCTGGGTCATGACCTTGTTGATGCCCTTCAGGGCCACCATCTTGGCCTTCATGATGGGGTCGGAGTCAAAGTCTGCAGGACACACAAGGTTCACAAGGTCAGATTCAGAACAGCAGGCGTGAAAGGTTACAGGTCTGCGGGGTTCAGGTCTTACCCATGTTGGGTATCAGAGAGTCTGGGCTGGACTGATGTCTGATCAGGGCCTGCATCTGTTTCTGCTGCTGCTGCTCCTGGCGCTCCTGGTCCAGGAGCTCCTGCAGGAGGAGCGGCTGCTCCTCCAGGAGCAGAGGCCTGTGCTTGCTCTGGTCCTGGTCCTCGTCTTGGTTTTGGGAGAAGACAGCCTGGCTCTGGGTCTGGGGGTTGAGGAGGAGGCGAGGCTGGGAGTGATGGAGGGACAGCTGGTGAGGCGAGGCAGGGGGGCCCTGAGGAGTCAAACTGGGGTGGGGAGCTAGTGGCAGACCCTGAGGGTGGGGGGAGAGGAGCGCCGAGGGGGAGGGTCCCAACGGTCTCAGCTGCTGCTGGAAGACAGGCTGTGGACCTGGAGACAGGAGAGGAGACAAGGAGGCAAGAGGGGAGGAGAAAAGGAGAGAGGGGAGGAGACAAAGAGGCAAGAGGGGAGGAGGCAAGGAGAGAGGGGAGAAGACAAGGAGAGAGGGGAGGAGACAAGGAGGCAAGAGGGGAGGAGGCAAGGAGAGAGGGGAGGAGACAAGGAGGCAAGAGGGGAGGAGGCAAGGAGAGGGGAGGAGGCAAGGAGAGAGGGGAGGAGACAAGGAGGCAAGAGGGGAGGAGGCAAGGAGAGAGGGGAGGATACAAGGAGGCAAGAGGGGAGGCGACAAGGAGGCAAGAGGGGAGGAGACAAGGAGAGAGGGGAGGAGACAAGGAGGCAAGAGGGGAGTAGAGAAGGAGAGAGGGGAGGAGCCAGGTAGGGAGAAGAGAAGATTCTCTGGTGACTCTTCAGCTCAATAAACTGATCATACTGATCAATAATGTATCAGTAAAGCATCAAGTAGAAATCACTGATCAATATTTCCAACGCTCAAAAAATCTCTTCATCACATTTTTTTTTTACCTCCAGCAATCGGGGGCTGAACTCTGGAACCCATGCCCATCGAAGAAGCCTGTTCCTGGGTGTGAGGAGCTGCCAAGGCCCCTGAACCGGAGCCAGAGCCTTCCACCCTCTCCTGGAGGGAGGGAGTTTTCAGATAATTCATCATTTGTTCAGACTATAATTTATTACAAGTGTCAGTTAGTTAGTAATAAATCAGAGAGGGTCCCACCTTGGAGAGGAGACCAGAGGAGCCGGGCTGGCTGGAGCCTGCTGCATCGGGCCCTCCTGGAGCTCCTGGAGGTCCGGGGGCTCTGCTGCTGCTGGTGATGATCCCAGGTTGAGGTGCAGGGTACTGGGTTGCTTCTGTCTTGACGCCGTCCTGCACTTCCTGTTTGACCTGGCCTATCAGGTGGCCGTCTGTCTTTCTGGACCCGCCGGATCCGTCCCTCCTCTCCGCCCCCTCCTTCTCCTCCACCGACTCCCCCAGGTCCAGCTCCTCGTTGAACATGTCCTTCTTGTCCTCCAGATTGAGCTCGGGGTCAGCGTAGGCGATCAGGTCGAACTTTCCCGACAGCAGGAAGTCGTCGAGGTGGAGGTCGTTAGGACCCAGATCCAGGTCCTCTTTACCTGAAACAGCACGTAGGTATGTTGTTAAAACGAGGAGCTTTATGTGTGTTGGTGCAGAACAAGCAGAACATCATGATGAAGCTTATCGTTCTAACGTTCAAGGATCTTTAACTAGAACCTGAACATTTTCTGTACAAGTCTACCGACATCCTGATCATTTATTATCTGCAGATCTGATTATCCACAGGTTCGTACCGTCTTCAGGGTCCAGGTTGAGGTTGAGGTCGACCAGATCTTTCACCTCCACGTCTTCCAGATCCTTCACGGCCGAGTCCTCCCCCTCCATCTGCTCCTCCATCCCATCAGTCCCAGGCAGCGTGGACTCGCCGCTCTGTGTCAGCGCCGCCGTGTGCTGCTGGTTCAGCTGGTCCATCACCATCTGCTGGCACAGCTGGGTCTCACCCATCCTGGGCCCCAGACCGGGCCTGACAGGAGACGGCTGGGGGTCTCGGGGGTGCAGCAGAGGGGTCTCGTGGTCCGAGGCACCGGGCAGAGGGAAGGGCAGCCTCAGACGGTGTTCGGGGGCGCGGTGGCGAAGCTCGATGTAAGGCTGTCCCATGATGCTGTGCTGCTGGAAGGGTATGGAGCGCGGGAGGAAGGGCTGGGGGACACCTGGGGGGGGCAATAATTTACTAAATATTAATTAGATGATAGAGGCTACTTTCTATCAGAGCACTATCAGCAGCCGGGTAGCAGTCCTCACCTGGCGGCATGTGTGGGTGAGCGTTGGGAGCCGGGAGGGTTCGGATGCCGGTGAACTCCCCAGGCATCGGCCTCCTCATTTGGACAGGGACTCCCTCCATCCCACTGAGCCCAGATCCAGGCACCGATCCCTGGGGAGGACGAAGGAAGGAGTCCTGGAAACCCACTGGAGCTCCTAGAGGACCACTGAACCTGGAAGAGAGGAGGAGGTTTGAATTACAAGAACACATCATCACACAGGCCAGGACCAGGTTTTGTTGCCGCTCTCACCTCATGAGGGGTCCTCGAACTAACAGCTCTCTGGGGAGGCTCTGCCTGGGGAAAGGAGCCTCGTTGGGGTTGAACCCCCTCTGCTGCTCCCCTGGAAAACCTCCAGGGAACCTCGGGGCTGGAGCTCCACCAGGCCTCAAAGTGCCAGGGTAGGGGGGCGGCGGACGTCCAAACAGGTCTGCTGGAGGAGCAGTGGAGGAGTCCTCCTGGGACCAGTGATGTGGTGTGGCAGAACCAGGGGTGGGTCCCGGCGAAGCAGCAGGGGCTACGGCGAGTCCAGAAGCTGCCTCCTGCAGACCTTTCTCCTGCCGCAAGGAGCTCTTCAGCTGCTGCTGCCTCAGGATGAGCTGCCGGAGCCGCTGCCGCTGCACAGAACACACGAGAACACAGGAGAACTGAGTACCGAGAACAAACCAGCTCTAAACCAGAACCTAGGATAGAGGAAAGACCAGACATGTAGCGTTGAAACACCTGTCCCACCTGTCTGAGCTTCTCCTCTGTGTCACCGAGCTGAGGCAGCATGCTCATTGGTCCATCTGAAGAAGCTAGCGCTGCCATCGCATTGGTCGTGTCCGTCTGTGAGAGGCCTGGTGTCATCTGACCTTGCTCGAAGGGGTCGTGACCAGGAGTCTGACCCGCCAAGCCCGAGAAGCTACTTTCCTCTGACATCCCGGAGTGCTTTGGGGTCTGGTTGCTGGGGGTTCTGGGAAATGAATCCTGCATTTGCTGTTGCTGTCGTCGTCCTGGAGACTGTTGCAACTGAAGAGAGAAAAAAATGTGTCAAGAAGGGAAACTGATGAAACAACCATTTACTCTTCTGTATGAGCCAGGAGACACTGACAGCAGCTCAGCTCTGCTGATCAGAAATATGGGAGTTAATGCTGTTATCAAATGAAACCTGTACATAGTGCAGTACAGACTGTAAACGGCAGTCCAGACTGAGTAAACGGCAGTCCAGACTGAGTAAACGGCAGTCCAGACTGAGTACAGACTGAGTAAACGGCAGTCCAGACTGAGTAAACGGCAGTCCAGACTGAGTAAACGGCAGTCCAGACTGAGTAAACGGCAGTACAGACTGTGTAAACGGCAGTCCAGACTGAGTAAACAGCAGTCCAGACTGAGTAAACAGCAGTACAGCCTGTGTACAGACTGTGTAAACGGCAGTCCAGACTGTGTACAGACTGAGTAAACGGCAGTCCAGACTGAGTAAACGGCAGTACAGACTGTGTAAACGGCAGTCCAGACTGTGTACAGACTGAGTAAACGGCAGTACAGACTGTGTACAGACTGTGTAAACGGCAGTCCAGACTGTGTACAGACTGAGTAAACGGCAGTCCAGACTGAGTAAACGGCAGTACAGACTGTGTAAACGGCAGTCCAGACTGTGTACAGACTGTGTAAACGGCAGTCCAGACTGTGTACAGACTGTGTAAACGGCAGTCCAGACTGTGTACAGACTGAGTAAACGGCAGTCCAGACTGAGTAAACGGCAGTCCAGACTGTGTACAGACTGAGTAAACGGCAGTCCAGACTGTGTACAGACTGTAAACGGCAGTCCAGACTGAGTAAACGGCAGTCCAGACTGAGTAAACGGCAGTCCAGACTGAGTAAACGGCAGTCCAGACTGAGTAAACGGCAGTCCAGACTGAGTAAACAGCAGTCCAGACTGAGTAAACAGCAGTACAGCCTGTGTAAACGGCAGTACCGACTATGTAAACTGAAGACATACAAACGCTGTTATCTGTTACCTGGCTGTGTGTCGGGGTAAAGGTCACCGTCTCTCCAGACAGTCTTGGAGCCGAAGGGGATGAACCGGATCCTGCCGGCTGAGGATTGAAGCTCTCTACTGGGGCCTGGCAGAAGGACTCAGGGGCCTTCTGGGGTCGTGGTGTGGAGGGCTGCTGAGAGTAGGGATCGGTGCCCTGCTGATTCCCTGGTGATCGAGGCAAGCGCTCTGTGACAGAGGGGCGGGGCGTCCCTGGGTTGGAGGCATAGGGGTCAAGGGTTGGGTGGGAGGGGGACGGCCGACGGCTGGCAGACTGCTGGTTATATTGGTCCAGTCTCAGCACAGGCGGTGTGTTGAGGTATGTGGGGTCAGACTGTGTATGTGGTGTACCGGGGGTATGAGGGTTACTGTAGGGGTCAGGTGAGGGCCGGGAGGTCATAGGTGACTGCTGTGTAAAGGGGTCAGTGATCTGCTGGCTACAGTCAGGCCTAGGGGTGCCGGGTGTCTGGGAGTAGGGGCTGCGATGGGGGGAGCCCAGCCCCGACAGTGGACTAGAGGGGAAGGGAATGTCCTGGGTTTGAGGTAGGGCATAGCCCAGATCTGTGGGTCTAGCTGGGTCCCTCCTTGCTCCTCCTCCTGTGCTGCTAAATACCTCCGGCTGAGGCTGGTGGTTCGGGGGCATGGGAGCTTTAAAAACCCCACCATGAACCAGTTCACCAGGCCGACCATAGAGTTCAGACGCCGCCACATGAACGTTACTGCTGTTATGAGGAGTCCGCTGGAAGGTCTCAGCGGCTCTGGCGCCAACATGTCTGGTCAAATGGTCCGGGGCCGAGACCGAGGAGGGGCTCATCATAGGTGCTCTGCTCTGCTGCAGACCTGGGGAAAGAAAACAAGGAGGTGATGGTTACTAAGAGGAGAAAACAAGGAGGAGGAGGTTACTAAGAGGAGAAAACAAGGAGGAGGAGGTCACTAGAAGGAGAAAACAAGGAGGAGGAGGTCACTAGAAGGAGAAAACAAGGAGGAGGAGGTCACTAACTAGAAGGAGAAAACAAGGAGGAGGAGGTCACTAGAAGGAGAAAACAAGGAGGAGGAGGTCACTAGAAGGAGAAAACAAGGAAAAGATGGTTCCTGGGAGTTACCTGGTTGTGGTCCAATGGTTCTGGAGACGTCGGAGATTTTGGAGTCTGGGGATGGTGCAGGGGAACCAAAGGCATCATGGGCTGGGGAGGCATTTAGGGAGTTGCGCCGCTGCTGCTGGGGGGCTGGAGGGCCACCAGCCTGGGAGAATGCGGGGCGAGGAGTTCCTGCTACTGTACTATAGGGATCCCAGGGCGAGGAGGGGCGGGAGGAGGGCGGGGAGAACATCTGGGGGGAGGAAGGAGGCTGATGGAGAGGGGAGGAGGAGTGGGGGGAGTGAGGGAGAGAGGAGAATCCGGAGGGGGGAGGGGCTTGCGGTCTGAGGAAGACGTCGTCAACAAATCCTGAACTCTGGCCCCCCTGCAGGAGGTGCTGCTGTCTGGATTGACCTTCCCTGGATGCTGGTGGATGGAGGGGGGAGCCGCTGCCCCCAGTAGGTGTCATGGGGCCCCGGCTGCCGGGCTCAGGGGAAAGCTGGCCGGCGAGGCGCTGGCCGGCTAACAGCTGCTGCTGCTGCCTCTGCTGCAGTAGCTGCTCGTTCTTGACTTGCTCCAACTTCTGCGTGGCCTCGATCCTCGCCAGCTGCTTACTCTTCTGACGCATTTGCTAAGAGAGAAACCAAAACCCGGAACAGAGAAACGCAGGGAGACAGAAACAGAGTAACAGACGTCAGAGAGATGACTGGTCACTACAGGTAGAGTTAAAAACATGATGACATGGCAGCTAGTAATGCTCGCTTTCCCTCTCTCTCTCTCTCTCTCTCTCTCTCTCTTAGTAAATGTGGGATCAGTGATGAATGGTGGAGTTTACAGCGTGCGGGGGTGGGGGGGGGGGGGGGCAGCAGAAACCACATGACTGAAACAATTCCACTGTTGGATGCATTAAATGTACAGGAGGATTAAACGTGTTTGTTATCAGACTAATGTGTTGCATCATAACTCAGACTGCGCTGCAGACAGAACTGTTTTAGTGCTCCTGTGGTTCTGGTGCTGTTGGGATGGTAGAGGGTTCGGGGGTTCGGGGGGGGGGGCATTACAGTCACGTATAGTTTGAGCTGATCATTAGTCCTCCCTGCTGACTGGTCTTTCCTGTCTGTCTCTCACCTGATTAATCACACCTGCAGTGATACCTGCTCACAGTGAATGCGACACTGCTGCTGTCCGTCAGCACACATAGCAACACACCAGACACTGGTCCTGCTCTCAGACCGGGACACATCCTGGACTTCCTGCAACATGGTCTCAGAGCTCAGGTGCTGTCTGATGGATTACCTGCTTGTATTGATTCCATAATCTGTCCTCTAGCGCCACCCTCGGGGCAAACCCCGTCCATTACTCATTTTAAAATGTCAGCACAGACACACTTGCTGCTGTTGTTAGATGTTGTCTTTTAAAACACTGGACCGGCCTATAAAAACAGAAGTTCACTCTTTGGTTGAACGGTTTATAACTCACAGACATAACAGCCATGTGTTTCACAACACTAAAGTCAGGCTCTGTCCCCTTTTATCTGTATGATGAGGAAAGAAAGGTGACTGAGCAGGTGTATCCAGTTGACCCTGAGACCAGAACAGGCGAGGTGGATGCTGAAGGACGGCAGCAGAGTGACATTCAGAACGAGGCAGCATCCCTTCAGAATAAAATCAGTCAGTTCTGAGACAGACTGAGGCCCCGGACACCGACTCTGGGTCAACTCCACTCCAGCGCTCTCAAACTGAAGCAATTGTTTTGTGTGTGCAGTGTTACTGCAGTCAGATCACCCACCCCAGTGTTTCCACAACCCATGTTCAAATGTAAACATTGGCCCAGAGAAGAAGACCGGGACCAATCCCGGGTCCACGTGTCTGAAATCCTCTTTGGTCCGGGAGCACCGGCTCGGTCTCACCACAACACTTCAAGTTCCCAGTGTTTCTGTCCTGGAGGTCAGTCTCCTGATCTTGGCTAAGTATCTGCTGACCAGCTGCTAACTAACTGCTAACCAGCTGCTAAATATCAGCTAACCTGCTGCTAAGTATCTGCTAACTAGCTGTTAAGTATATGCTAACTAAATGCTAACCAGCTGCTGACCAGCTGCTAACCAGCTGCTGACTAGCTGCAGACCAGCTGCTAACCAGCTGCTGACTAGCTGCTGCCCAGCTGCTAACCAGCTGCTAAGTATCTGCTGCCCAGCTGCTAAGTAGCTGGTAAGTATCTGCTGACCAGCTGCTAACCAGCTGCAGACCACCTGCTAACTAACTGCTAACCAGCTGCTAAATATCAGCTAACCTGCTGCTAAGTATCTGCTAACCTGCTGCTAAGTATCTGCTAACTAGCTGTTAAGTATATGCTAACTAAATGCTAAGTATCTGCCGACCAGTTGCTAACCAGCTGCTGACCAGCTGCTGACTAGCTGCAGACTAGCTGCTGACCAGCTGCTAAGTAGCTGCTGCCCAGCTGCTAACTAGCTGCTGACTAGCTGCTGCCCAGGTGCTAAGTATCTGCTGCCCAGCTGCTAACCAGCTGCTAAGTAGCTGCTGACCAGCTGCTGACCAGCTGCTAAGTAGCTGCTGACCAGCTGCTGACCAGCTGCTAAGTAGCTGCTGACCAGCTGCTGACCAGCTGCTAAGTATCTGCTGACCAGCTGCTAAGTAGCTATTAAGTATCTGCTGACCAGCTGCTAAGTATCTGCTGACCAGCTGCTAAGTAGCTATTAAGTATCTGCTGACCAGCTGCTAAGTAGCTGCAGACCAGCTGCTGACTAGCTGCAGACCAGCTGCTAAGTAGCTGCAGACCAGCTGCTAAGTAGCTGCTGACCAGCTGCTAAGTAGCTGCAGACCAGCTGCTAAGTAGCTGCAGACCAGCTGCTAAGTAGCTGCTGACCAGCTGCTAAGTAGCTGCAGACCAGCTGCTAAGTAGCTGCAGACCAGCTGCTGACCAGCTGCTGACCAGCTGCTGACCAGCTGCAGACTAGCTGCTAAGTAGCTGCAGACCAGCTGCTAAGTAGCTGCAGACCAGCTGCTAAGTAGCTGCAGACCAGCTGCTAAGTAGCTGCAGACCAGCTGCTGACTAGCTGCTGACCAGCTGCTGACTAGCTGCTGACCAGCTGCAGACCAGCTGCTAAGTAGCTGCAGACCAGCTGCTGACCAGCTGCAGACCAGCTGCTAAGTAGCTGCTGACCAGCTGCTGACCAGCTGCTAACCAGCTGCTAAGTAGCTGCTGACCAGCTGCTGACCAGCTGCTGACCAGCTGCTGACCAGCTGCTGACCAGCTGCTAAGTAGCTGCTGACCAGCTGCTGACCAGCTGCTAACTAGCTGCTAAGTAGCTGCTGACCAGCTGCTGACCAGCTGCTAACCAGCTGCTAAGTAGCTGCTGACCAGCTGCTAACCAGCTGCTAACCAGCGGCTAAGTATCTGCTGACCAGCTGCTGACTCCAGGGGGTCGGAGTGAAGACTGAAGAGTGTGTGGACCAGCACAGGAGTGACCCAGGACATGAAGAGGATTTCAGAGGGTCGTGGATCCAGGAAGTCCGCCTAGAACGTGTTCGCCTTGAGATCTTACCAGAGCCTCTTTGCCACCTCCTGCTACAGATGCCTGGTATGGACAATCTTTATCTGTTGGTGATTTTAGGGCTTTGCTTTGGGGGAGATTTTCCTGCCTCTTCTTACCGGCTCCCCATCTGTCATTTACCTCTCCCTTTTCAATGACAGTTACATCAGAGACATTAGTTGGAGTGAGCGGGCTCGGCAGGACACACACATCACATCTTCATCACTCATCTTCATCAATGACACAACAGCTAGGTACAGTCCCCCCCCCCACTAAGAGTCACCTGACCCCGCCTCTCGGCCTGTCTCTGCAGCCCCCTGACATGCAGCCTGGTGGTTAACATGGTTACTACTCAGAGAGGGAAACCAGCGCTGTCCTGCCGCCGTGATCGGAGAGAACTTTATTCATTATCGCTGCACTTTGCTCTAAAGCTTCTGTTCAAACAGACTAGATTAGAAGAACATAAACCCAGACAAGATGAACGAGTCCTGCTAACAGCTAACTGCTATTTTAGCCTCTGACTAAGGTTGTAGATTAATTCATCACTTAATTTACTATAAACACTAATTTATGAAATGGCACATGGACACAGAAACATTTCATCAATATAAACTAGTAAATTTAGTAAAACTTCATTCAATGCCATTCAAGCAACCATTTTAGCAAAAAGTTACTAATTTCAGGTGTATGTGGGCGTGTCTTGGTTAAATCGTGCCGTTTGCGGCAGGAGTCTGGTGCTGCTTTCTCTCTCTGGTTCTACTTCATGGGGGGGATGATGTGTTAAAAGACAAACACAGTGAAACTCTGCTCACCTGTCTGAACTTCCACTCCTGCTCCTGTTCAGTCTCTTTGGGCCTCAGCGGGTCCTTGAACGTCCCATCCGCCTCCATGGAAGCGGGGTCATAAGGCCCGGGCGGTGGCTGCGGCGGCGGCGGCGGCTGCTGCTGCAGTTGCGGCTGCTGCTGCTGTGAGGGCTGCTGGCGTTTCAGCGGGTCGTTGGACAGCTGCACCTTGCTGATGCGCTGAGCCGCTCGGTTATCTCGAGCTTTTTGCTGCCGGAGAGAAAATAGACTCAACAAACACGAGGCCTCCTCTAAAAAGGTTTTTCCAGGGTGTGAGGAGACCGAACAATCCGGCTGTCTGCAGCAGATCATCACTCAGACAACTAGTTAGAAATGTCTCATGAATCTAGATACCAATAAGGTGATTGATCACAGACTGAAGGTTTGCCTCCTTTCTTTGTCAATAAATGATCAGCTAGGGGAGGGGCTTGTGAGGTTCCCCAAGGACTTATCTTAGGGCAGTGGTCGGCAACAGGCGGCCCCCGGGCCAGAACCGGCCCGCCAGCAATAATATCTGGCCCGCTTTGATGGCAGAAAAATAAAAAACGAAATAAATTGATAGTGGCTGGTTCTGAAACAGATCTCAGTCATGACAGATACAGTTACTCACATAGTCACTTCCTCTTGAGTGATCATGCCTCCAAAATTAGAGAGCGAGCATGTATTGTGAGCATGTGCAAAAGTGTCCTTATATTCCATTTGTTTAACAAGAGAAGGACAAAGAGTCTGTTGGATGTTGAGATCTGCACTCTACCGAGTATCTCAGGGTCTGAAATATTTTGACTTTGTTCTGGCCCGCCATGTAACAGCTTGAAATAAATTTGGGAAGATGCCAGACTTATTTCCCGACCCGTCTAAGGGCCTCTGCTTTTTATCATTAATGTGCCCCCCCCCTGGTGGTGAGGAGGAGGTACTTACAGACCAACTTGTTCTCTGTTGAGTCCTTAGAGTCCTATCTCTGATTTACTTGTGTAAGAGTTTAATTTTTTAAGTTTGAATGTACTGTTCGTATTTTACAGGACTTTCTTTGTTAAGCTCTTTGATTGAAAGTGCTCTATAAATAAATGTTTTATTATTTTAACTGTACTTCTCCTGCTGACACAGGACCAACTGATGTTCTTTCAGAAGGACTTCAGATACTGAAGGTCACCAAATGAATCATCTTAAAATAGCCTTTGAGCTGCGTGTTCTCGACCAATAGCAGGCCGTCCTGACTGAGCTGACCTTTGAGTGGACGGAGAGCCCGACAAGGAGGAGGCTTTTATTGGAGCTCCTCCACAACAGAGAGCTGGTTTACACACAGTTAGGAGGCTCATTACCCTGTCACTTTCTGATGGGTCACGACCCAAAAACATTACACATGAAGAGAATAATCAGCGGAGGGAACTCACCACGAAGGGCGCCCTGTCCTGAGAGCTGGCCTTCCTCCACAGCTTGGCGATCTGCTTCACCCTGGTGGACCAGTCTGACACACACACAGTAAAGATTCAGAAACAGGAAGAGCTTTTATCAGCAGCCACATTTGGTTTCTAGATGACAACAGAGATCTGAGCTCACATACAGCTCACGCCATCTACTACCTATCAGTATATAAATATATGTGTGTGTGTGTACCACTGTACTGCTGGTATATAAATATATGTGTATACCACTGTACTGCTGGTATATAAATATATGTGTGTACCGGGGTACTGCTGGTATATAAATATATGTGTATACCACTGTACTGCTGGTGTATAAATATATGTGTATACCACTGTACTGCTGGTATATAAATATATGTGTGTACCGGGGTACTGCTGGTATATAAATGTGTGTGTGTACCACTGTACTGCTGGTATATAAATATATGTGTGTACCGGGGTACTGCTGGTATATAAATGTGTTGTGTGTACCACTGTACTGCTGGTATATAAATGTGTGTGTGTACCGGGGTATTGCTGGTATATAAATGTGTGTGTACCACTGTACTGCTGGTATATAAATATATGTGTACCGGGGTACTGCTGGTATATAAATGTGTGTGTGTACCACTGTACTGCTGGTATTAAAGTGTGTGTGTACCGGGGTATTGCTGGTATATAAATGTGTGTGTACCACTGTACTGCTGGTATATAAATATATGTGTGTACCGGGGTACTGCTGGTATATAAATGTGTGTGTGTGTACCACTGTACTGCTGGTATATAAATATATGTGTGTACCGGGGTACTGCTGGTATATAAATGCGTGTGTGTGTACCACTGTACTGCTGGTATATAAATATATGTGTGTACCGGGGTACTGCTGGTATATAAATGTGTGTGTGTACCACTGTACTGCTGGTATATAAATATGTGTGTGTACTGGGATACTGCGGGTATATAAATGTGTGTGTGTGTACCACTGTACTGCTGGTATATAAATATGTGTGTGTACCGGGGTACTGCTCTCTCAGCTGGGGGAAGTTGGTGTTGCAGTAGAGCGGGGGCGACGTGGCCACTCCCCCAGAATCTCTTCCTTCTCCCCTTCAGCATGCTCCTCTGAGCCGTCGACATCCCGTCCTGCTCACCCTCTCCGGCCGAACCCTGAGTGGAAGAGGCCGGCCCGGGGGCGGGGCCCGGGAGCGGCGCGGGGGCGGGGCACTCGGGAAGGGGCATCCCAAAGCCCACAGGACCCTGAACACCGCTGGGCATCATGGGAGCGTTTGGAAAGTGAGGATTAGCTCCCATCAGGCCGTTCATCAGAGGAAGACGAGGAAACGCAGCTGGTGGAGACGTTTAAGTAGAATAATTAATAACCATCATCTCGTCGCGTCGAGCCCTGTCACACTAAACTGTTTCTACCATGTAAAAGCTAAAGTAAACTGAATCCGTTTGGCTTCAGTATGGCTGGACGGCAGAAATGTTCTCACCATAAAACATTTCATATCGTTCCATGTCGATATTTATCAGGATCAAAGTGAAATTTCTTTCGGTTTGAAGTCCGATTTTTGCTCCTGAGTGAAAGTTGAAGAAGGGGGTGTGACGAGATCTCGCCAGATTAAACACCGTCTCGTCAGAAACAAATGTAAAAGACTTGATGATGCGACACCACTGTACGCTGTGATAGTATCAGCTCTCGCGCTGCGAGTCCACACAGTTTGTGACGGCGTGGTAACGCAGCTGATAAGAGTTTACAGTATAAACATGTAAAAACTGAACTTAAGTTAACATGTGATGATCTGCAGAGAGATTTCAGTTACAGTTTCCACGTCCCAAACTGTGTCTGAACGCATCATGTTTCTGTTGGACCCTGAGTAGTGTCTGACAGGTACAGCTGTGTGTGTGTGTGTGTGTGTGTGTGTGTGTGTGTACCTGTGTGCTGTGTGCTTGTTTTGCTCCCAGCCGCAGGGTGTGTGTGCTGGCTCTGCTCTGATTGGCTGTTTGGACTGAGAACAGCAGTGAACACCTCCTCCACGTCCTTCCCCTCCAGCTCTGCACACACAGACACACAAACCACAGAGGAGTTCAGATCCACGTCTGAGACGTCACAGATGTTAGCGTCAGCGCTCTGACCGTTTTCTACCACATCGACATTAAGCTGCTGTCAGCGCCTTTACACTTCCTGTAGACCTTTCACATTAAACGACTCCCAACAACAAGCAGTCTGGAAGAGTTTTAATGTGAAAACTTCAGAGGGGCTGCTATTTTTAGAGGTCAAGAAAACAGTTTTTATTATCCTACATCTACGTGTGACACAATGACGCCCGTCTGTCACTCAGACTAGGAACACACGTCAGCTGCTTACATCGTCTTCGCAGGTCTTTAGACCGCAGTGGAAACGCACTCAACAACAAGCTGAAGGAACCTTT